ATAAAACAAATAATTCGAGTAAAAAATAATTTGAATAAAAGCAAATAAAGCAAATAAAGCAAATAAAAGCAAATAAAGCAAATAAAACAAATAATTAATTAATAAGACGAATAAAGCAAATAAAAGCAAATAAAACAAATTAAACAAATAAAACAAATAAAACAAATAAAAGCGAATAAAACGAGTAAAACAAATAAAACAAATAATTAATTAATAAAATGAATAAAGCGAATAAAGTGAATAAGCGAATAAAATGAATAAAATGAATAAAATGAATAAAACGAGTAAAATGAATAAAGCGAATAAAATGAATAAAACAAATAAAGCGAATAAATGAATAAAACAAATAAAACCGAATAAAATGAATAAAACAAGTAAAATGAATAAAGCGAATAAAACAAATAAAACAAATAAAGCGAATAAACGAATAAAATGAATAAAACGAATAAAACCGAATAAAACGAATAAAATGAATAAAGCCGAATAAAACGAATAAAACGAATAAAACGAATAAAACCGAATAAAATGTACAGTCAGAACTCGTTAAAACAATGCTTTGATAAACCGAATATACACAATAAGCCAATGTTGTTTTATTATCTACCTATCAAATTTACCTCAATAACAATAAGCCAATTTTATTAAGGTTTTTTAAATCGAAAATTTTTTTTTTTGAAAATATTGACTTAGGTTTAATGAGTTCTGACTGTATCATGAATAGAAACAAACCATGCATTAATACCAAAATCAAAAAACAACAATAAACAAACAAACAAATAGCTTTTATTGCGAAATAATTAATTTTGTTCCTTTATTGAATCAATCACACAAGCAGTGGTCAATTTAAACAGCATTGTTTTTAAAGAAAATAATATTATTAAATGTATAAAGTTTAATGATTTTTAATGTTGCAAATTTTTTTGATGTCAATCTCAAAATCAATCATGTTTATATACTTTAAAGTTTCTTTATTTCTTTTTTTGATAAATAATAAATTTATCCTTTGTTTATTTATTTTAGTAGATTCAAATAGATTTTATTAAATCAAATGGTACACTACAGCAAAGTTTAAGAGAACCCAAGTGTATCAATTACACAAAAACACACTATTAAGTTAATTTATTACAAAGTCACTTTTAAAGTACAGCGAATTCTTGTTCCTTATATACATGTTTAATTAATTAATGTCCCAGTCTGGGCGAATTGTCCCATTTGGGATTATTGCCATTAATTCCTTCCAAATAATTTAATAAATATACGGAATGTAACACGAATATATACTAATATAGGTTGAGAAATAATCATCTCGTTTTTTCTCATAGTTTCTGGTGTACCAATTTTTTTAGGTATAGAAATGTGCTCTTTATATCGCATATGATATACTAACTTATGGAAGAATGTATCATATTTCATGATAAGTTGAGTAAGAGCATCCAGGTGTTTTGAAAGATCAGAGCATATAGCTTTTTTTATATCGTTATCTACTAAAAGATTTTCATTTTGAGTGGATAATCTAGCATATTTCATAAACTTTTCCCACATTTTTCCTAGTGTATTAGTTTCCTTAATATTAGTCATACTAGCTCCGCTAAAATCTTCGAAATTCAGCCAATTTCCATGTAAGATCTCGTATGATTTTCCAATTACTGGGTATAATAATGTTCTCGCTATTTTGATAGCTTCCTTATAAGCTCGTTTATATGCATAACCACGTTCGAGTATCATATTTGATGTAATTCCATTCAATTCATTTACATATTGTTCGAGCCATTTTTTGGCTTTATTCTGAGAATAATCATCAATTTGTTTATATTTTTCATCTTCGCATTTGAGTTGCATAATCTTATCTGAAAATGGTGGTTGGTATCTATCATCGTACATGATAAATCGGGCACAAAGGCCATTAATTTTATTTTCAAAATAATACAATAAATCTATCTCCTTTTCAAGTTTTTTTTGCTACGTCAACAAATTCCATTCGATCTTCTTTAGTTGGATGCAACCTTTTACCGGATAAATCGAAATACTTATCAGACTTTGTTACTACATAATTAAAACGTTCACCTGACTCTGGAATTTTATTTTCATAAAGAGACCTCATTCGGCTAATGAAACGTTGGATAGGTGGATTTTGCACATTTGCTTTATAAGTGGCTGATTCTATAAACTGGTCGATTTCCCATTTTTTAGAATATGTATCCTTGAGAATATCTTCAACGATTTTATGTAACGTTCTAGTATTTTTTACTTCCATACTTTCCCACATGATCTGCTCACCAATATCTGTAAAAATTTTAGATTGCCCTTGTTTTACGGTATCTATACCTTTTATAAATAGTTTTTTTGATTTAAAGTTCGGAATATCTACATGTGGAAGTCCGAAATATTTTTTCTTTCCGGTAAAGCAAACTGGAAATAATACCTCTTCATATGCCATTTTAAGATATGCCGATCTGCTCTTTAATCTAAGATAGGTATTTACATCGTTTCGTAATTTTTTCATTACATCCATAGTAATCCAAACCATTTGTTTCCAATATTCTTCTTTTGAAATCCCATTTCCATTATCATATCCTAGGTCGCAATTTTTATAATAAATATCAGGAGCTATAAGGTATAAAGAATCTGTGTCGCCATATTTTATCTTAAATCCTTTCTTTTTTACGTATTCTGCGACCATTTTAATGTTATATTGTCCGACTGTTGTTACACCCCCGGCAAGCTCGCGTTTAAAGAAAGGGGAAAGGGTATTACCCATCTCTCCATAAAAGGTATTCATATATTTTTTAATTGCTTTTTGTTTCGAATCCAAACAAACGATATCAAAACAAATGGAATTATATTCTGCTCTTTCTTCTTTTGATAAGGGTTCTCTAGCTTCTATGTAATCTTTTTTCTTCATAAGATTGGCGAGTTGTTTTTTCATTTCATTTCATTTATTAAGCAATTTTTCTAATACCAATGGATATAAACCTTTGTTTTCATTTCTATTCTCATGGTGTATAACCCAAGCACGTAAAGTTCAATTATTAAAAGGAAACTCGATTTCATGAAGTGGAATTTCATTTGCGTTTAATATATCTGCTTCGTCGGACGATAAAATCATTTTATCTGGTGATAAATTATAAGTCATGATAATACTTAGATATAGGGATGCAAAATCCAAACCCGTAACTGGGTGTTTATTTTCCAGACCTTTTTTTGGAGGAAATACATAGGCACCGGGAAAGCTACCAGATTCAATATTATCACAACGAATCATAGTAATTAGTATATCTTTTTCCCAAGCTTCAGCACCTAAGAGATTACATACCTTCATACCCCCAGCATAGAAATGTGAGTCAAATAAAGATATATAAGCTATAGAAGCTTCTTCTCTATAATCATTTATTATATTTCTTTTAATCATGAGTCGCTGACAAAATAATGCATCAACAATACAATACTTTGCGATTTTATGTATATTATTATCGGTTTCAGTTGTCGTAATTTTCTTGCTTTTCTCATAATAAATTCTCTTATCTTTTACTAGCATATCTATTTTACTATCAAGTCCATGGTTCTTTAAGAAATAATCGAGTGAGAATTTTTCAGAACGTGGATAAAGTTTTTTATAACATACTATTACATCAATTGGAACACAACCGGGAATTTTGAGGAAAGTGGATATGAAATTTTCTTCTGGACTGATTTTAATTGCGATACCTTCCCGGTTTTTTATTTTTTCATTATCTTTCTTGTTTTCAAAATTTCTAGCCCATGATTGCTCTCTGTGGAAGAAATCTTTATCGGAAGGATCACCTAGTCCTCCATAATAATTCCAACAAAGAATACCATCAATACTAGTCTTTTGGCTTGGGTTTCCTGTCATTTGTGTAAACATCCAATCGATAATTTGTAGTTGTGTAGCCTTTTCCATTATAAAAGGCCAGTCATACTTGGAACCATTATACGTAAGTTCGATATCGGGAGCTAATACTCTCCAGCATAAAGTAAATGCTTTTAATAAATTAATCTGGTTTCTGCAAATAATTGTAATCCAATTCGGGTCTGGTGCTGTTTCCACATCAACAAGGCAGATTTGTTTTAATGGAGTAGGGTCGTCTTTCCAGTTAACTGTCATACAAATCATGAACACGTTATCTTCTTTGTATCTTGCCATAGGAAGCAAATCTAATCCACGTGTTGTATACGTTTCTATATCCCAGGCAAGAACTAATGTACGATCATGAGTAATAAGTGAAGAAGGGTAGGTTTTATGTAATATTGAGGGCTCATCTATGGGCCGGAAACCATTAACTGATACATAGAAAGAATGTGTACAGAGCGGGGTCCGAGAATTATAAGGCAACCCATTATATGAGTAATTAGTCAATAAAGCCCATCCAGAAAGCGGAATCTTATATTCTCTGGAAACTTTTCGATAATATGCACTTCTATCGTCAGAAGCAGTTTCTAAGTTATGTTATGTTTTAGAATAATACTTAACGCTTTTCTTCTTTGAAAAGTATTTGTTGTAACAATACAAAGAAACGATTTTTTTTCTGCATGGTAGCCTCGAATAGGGAATGCTTTTACGTGTTCTATCCGAATTTTATTTACGTCTATAGTTTCTCCTTCGTCATCTTTCCCATTTCTAAATATATATTTTATTTCAGTCTTGAATACATCAACAGTTTTATCATTGGGAAGACGGATATCAAAGAAAACCTTAATACCTGAAATAGTTACTACGGCTTTTTCTCCATTGACAAGACATCCATAGATACGTAAAACATAATGTGGAGTATCGTTTATATACTCATTATATTCTTCGATATCAACGGGCATAAATGGGATATCTTCTTTATTGCTTAATACTCGTTTAATGATTTTTGTTGAGCCATAGTCATCATTCTCTGTGATTATATTATTACAACTAGGGTTGATTGGTAAATATTCTTCTCCATTATATCGAAATAATTGACCTGTTTTTCACTTTCCGAAATATGTAATTTACAATGGGCGCCGTTGGTTTCGTTTTCTGGGTTTTCTGTGCCGTTGTTTTGGGTTTATGCATTTATGTTGAGTGTACTTTTATTATTTCGAAAGTATAACTTTTATTATTTTGAAAGTTTAATATAAGTTATAATAAAGTTCAAATTAAAATTATTTATTTAGAAATATTAGTGTTAGACATAAAATATACACATTAATAGTTAAACTAGATCCGCTAAAAATTGTATTATAAAAATTTTTAGATATGGTGTTTTATCGTTGCTCCTATATTCTTAGAACTGGCGAGGAATGTAACCGGGGATGTTATCATCCAAAGGGGTGTAAAGTTCATAGGGATTCCCCTATACGTATACCTTGCAAAGAGTGTGGCAAGTTAACTTGGTCTACTTATGGTTTTTGTGAAGATCATTCTGGTAAGTATCGAGTCAGAGATCATTATCAACAGAAAAAGCAAAAAAAGCTCGCCCAGGGGTCATCTGAAATGGAAGGGGGGCAAATTATAGTTGAGGAAATTCCGGCATATAAACATACTCCAATTAAGTGTCAACAGTTGTCAGCAGTTGTCAGCAGTAAAAAAAATTCCACTGACACCTTTCCTGGAGTTCCAAGCCCGAAAGCAAGTCTTCTCGATAAGTGTCAGTAGTGTCAGTAGTGTCAGTAGTATTTTTCCGATTTCCACTTTTTTATTTTTATTTTTTTACGTTTTCCACTTTAGTTTTTACTACTGACACTACTGACACTTATAATAAAGTAATCAAGAAAGAAGAGAAAAAGACTAGGAAGCTCATTTAGACTCAGAAAAGTGTCAGTAGTTGTGTCAGCAGTACCTATAATCAACTACTGACAAATGCTGACAAAAATATCGCATCATAATATTAGGTTAAAATTGAATTCATGATAATCATAACCATATTAAACATTTATAAAGAAGGTATTAACTAACTACTCACCAGAAAGAAAAATATAACAATGTTTTCAGATAAGAATCAATCGAGGCTGGTTGAAGAATTAAACTTGAAATTTGATTCCATTATTGCTGAATTTAAAAAGGAAATGGAAGCACTCATTGATATTAATGCCAAACTTCATGCTAGGGTTAAAGGGTTGGAACATGAAAAGAAAAAGATTGATGATAAAATTGAGGACCTAGAAGACACTGATAAATATCTAGATACTGAAATTGAGGATATAGGTTATCAAAGTGAAAAGAACGACACTAGAATTGTGAAATTAGAACAGACTCAAAATACAATAATTAGTTTCTTTAAAAAGATTTCTCTGACACCTTGACCACGAATTTAGAATTCTTTGGAGATCGGTATTATAAATTATAACTAGAGATGGGAAATTGCATGAAATTCCAAAATTTCATGCGCATGATGCGCATCGTGCGCATTTTATGCAATGCATTTTTTTTTTTAAAAAAAAATTTTAAATTTTTATTTATGTATATTACAGTCAGGGTTTTTACCGAATTTGGAAATCAATTCTAGAATGATCTACACAATTTTAATAGGCTCTTGTGCATTCATTTCCGTTGTAAAAACTTCATGTTTCATGTGACTTTACACAAAAAAATTTTGTTGTAATTTTAAACCATATCATAAAAATAAACAAACAAATATTCATAT